TCTCTCTCTCTCTCTCTCTCTCTCTCTCTCTCTCTCTCTCTCTCTCTCTCTCCCCTTTTTTTTTCCCTTCACTTCTTTTTTTGGGGGGCCAGGGGAGGCCGACACAAACCCCAGGGAATCTAACCCCAGTCCTCCCCCCCCACCCTCCTCCCTCCCTCCAGGTCCGCGCGGAATTGAACTCCGCGTGCACGCACGTTCATTGAACGGAGTTCAATTCCGTTCAGTTTTTGAACGGAAGAGTCGTATTCAATGAGCGCGCGGTTTCATAGGGCAAACTCGCTTCTACAAAGCCAGCAGTGCCCCAGCACTTTAGAAATGGTGGAAGAAATGGGACACACAAAGGAGCAACAACAACGAACATACCCTGAAGATTTCAGGAAGAGACTAGACACATGAAACACGCTGTCTCGACCAGGGTATTGGGAGCTGCCCTCTGCAGACGTCGAATATGTCACACAATCACAGACGAAGTAGTAAGTACCTCTCGGAATTTCTCACTGCTCGTGGATATCCGACAGGTGCAGCACCGCTGTCTTTGCAAGCAACTTTACTAGAGAATGGCTGACTGGCAGTCGATCCTCCCCCTCAGGGAGCAATCAATCCTGGTCAGGGGTCCTTTGGCCTAGACAGATGGGAGAAGGGAGTGTTGAGTGAGCTGTATGTAATGCTTTTTCTTCGCTTTGCTTGTGAAAAGCAGCGGGACCGACGCTTCACGTTGATGCTCCTTAAACTGGACAAGGTGCCATGACCATAAGCACCTGTTCAGGCAAAAAGAAAAGGGAACTTGTTATGTATCCGCTTTGGGAGCAGAAGGTCATGAGTTCGATTCCTTTGGGTAGAGCTTTGTTACAGAAATGATGGCATGTGAGTTGCTTCTTTTTGTTTATGTGAAGATCTTGTAGCAGTCCTATAATTTTGCAGCCCGTAAGGCTTGTGTGGCATCCATTCGCTTGCCCTTGTTGTATCTTTGTATCCCCCAGTTGCTGGAATGGACGGGTGGTTTGTCCGCAGTTTGTGGTTGTTGGGAGGGTGGAGAAAACAGAAAAGGGGGAATAGCGGGGTTGGAAAGCAAGCTGTTGGTGCGGGTTGGTGGGAGTCGTACTTTTCTATGTCATAATCATTCCGTTTTCCTGAGATCAGTGACTTATTGGAAGTGGAGAGGGGTTAACTAGGGGTTGGGGGACGATATAGGTGTTGTTTTTCTTCCGTGCAAGGGACATTAGCTGGCAGACCTTGTGCCTTGTTATTCTGAACGAATTATCGGGAGCTGTTAAGCTCCAGGTACATGCAGAATGTTTTCTACCATGACTGGCACCGATTCTCCATCACGAATCGATGGCAGAGGGTGCAGCCTCACGGATGTTTCCCAAAAGGAAAAAAAAAAAAAAAAAAA